AGTCCCTGTTCCCTCAAGCACTACCAGGAGTGACCAGGAATAACGGTCACAAGCTGGCAGAGGGTAGATTCAGGCTAGATATCAGGAGGCTCTACTTCACAGTCAGGGTGGCTAGGATCTGGAACCAACTTCCAAGAGAAGTGGTGCTGGCTCCTACCCTGGGGGTCTTTAAGAGGAGGCTAGATGTACACCTTGCTGGGGTCGTTTGACCCCAGTACTCTTTCCTGCCATGGCAGGGGGTCGGACTAGATGATCTACTCAGGTCCCTTCCGACCCTAGAAACTATGAAACTATTGGCAGGGAGACTGATCCAACACATTGTGATTACAGAGAATTGGAGCAGACTCAATTACATGGTAATTACCGTGCTCCAGCCTCTGTCTCTCATGTATCAGCGTGCCCATGCTTCAAAATTGTGGTAGGGGCACTTTGACTAAAGCTCATTCAACAAGCTTTAAATAAAGTACCTACACCACCATTTTGAAGTGTTAGAATGCTGATACATGAGATTCTCTGGGTGCTAATTAGAGTGGCTCTCAGAGCCGCTCTAATTAAAGTGAACCCCCCCAAAAACACCCCCAGAGCACATGTAAAAATACTCTACGCTCACTTTGCACTGTTGTATGACTTCATAGGATGCAGAGACACAAGACATTCATCTACGTTAAGCCTCTATATTCTAATCCAAAATGGCAGTTTTAATGTAGAAATGACATTAAAGGTACATATGGCCTTTTACCCTGAAAGAACTTCAAATGCTTAACTAACAGTACCAGTCACTCTATTAACCAGAGACATAGGAACTACTTCCCCTACCACAGAAATGGAGCTACCTCTGCAGTGGAAGTAAGTAATTATTTAATAGTATGAGAGAAAATAAAGTGTATCAACTGAATCTGTATGTCATGAGAAATGTCCAGAGGCAAAACATACTTTGGCAAGAGTGCCAGAATTAATACCCTTATTGTAAAGAGAAGTGCCAAGAGATCTTTAATGAACTGTAATGGAGCACTGGCTCAAAACCAACCTTGTGGGGACTGGCAGCACTAGCAGCACATCCTTTAGCAGTGTGGCTTTTCCATATGTGTCTTGTATCCAAGTACAGGGGCCTTGAGAACATCATGAAATCTGATGTGATCAGAGCCTCTAGAAGATGACTCAAGAGAAAAGCAGCCCTAGAGCCATCACTGGGTGTGAAAAGCCTGGACATGTTTCTTTCCACATCTGAAAATCTTGCCAGGCAGAGGCAGAGTGAATCCCAGGCTCCCATTCTTAAGCCAGCACCTGGATGCACACCTGTTGTGAAGCTGTGTCCATTTCCACCAGATCAGTGATGGGCTCACTATCCGGTGACGAAGTCTCTGCTGGGATGACCACCACAGGGCTGATATGTTCTGACAGGGCTGAGGCCCGTAGGAAGTTGGGAGGATTCTGTGGGAGGGAGAAAAACAGAACTGATGAAAAGAGCTCAATACCTGAGACTCAACAGGCCAAACACCCACCCCCTCACCATCATCCCCAGGTAGCTCCAATGGGATCACAGCATCACTCAGAGGCAGTTCTGTGGCTGGGGTTGCTTTCAGAACTCAGATTCTGCCTATTAAGGGAATATTATACATCTTTAATTTTACTTAGCACTGCCTGGGAACTCTGACAGGGAGCACTGGTATCCTCAGGAAGCTAAGGCCAACATGGAGTTTGAGTTGTTTTACTGGGTCCCTCCCACAAAGCTGAGGCAAAATAATTATGTTTAGATTTAAGGAAGTAATTTTACTAAAATGACCGTGCAGAATTCTCCTCCTGCCTTTCGGTGGCATTTCAGGGGAAAGGATTTCTGGGAAGCAAATATTTCTCTGCAAGGTTTGGAACTCAAGATGAAGAAACATCTTTTTAATGCAAGGGTAAGCAAAAGTGGTTCATTACAGACCAAACTGATTGTGCTCTCAAAGCCAAACAAAGCAAAATAAGCTACATAGTAACAGATTACAGCAAAAGCTTTGTTATCCGGCACCCATGGAGAATGGGGGGTGCCGAATAACCAAATATGTCAGTTATCCGTGAGGTCCAAACATACGTCTTTGCCTGCTGCTATGTCCCGGGCCTTGGGCACTTGGCAGCACAGGCTGCTTTGCCTTGGGCCGTGGGGGCTCGGCGAAACCCGAAGTGCCATGGTGGGCACTTCTGGTTTCGTTTTTGTCGCATCAACTGGCATGCCAGTTAGTAGAGCATGCCGGTTTGTAAGGTGCCAGATAATGCGGCTTTTACTGTATATCAGTTTCAACATTTTTTCCTGTTCTAATAATCTCAGAGTTTATCAGTATCCTAGGGAAGGCATCCTTTCACAACAGCCTTTGAATCCACTCCCATGAGCGCCATGTTTGGTTTTGAATTACGACAGCAACACACCTTTACAAAATGTAGACTGTGGGTGGATTCCCATAGGAGAGGTGTCAGAACAGCCTAGCTCTTGAGAGCACCCAGGGTGACGTTTCTTTTACACTCCAAGAGTATTCTAAATATAGCCTTCATTTTTTAGAACTGCAATGTTCTACCCATAATTAGTCACGGGCGCAAACACCAGCACTTCAGTGTCTAATGAGCAGAAAGTGGGATGCGAGAAAGCTAGTATTTGTGCTCCTTAACTTCTGTACAACTGAGGCATCTTTACGAATGTTTGTGCACTTATAGAGGTGCTCATTCACAGTCTAATTAAAACATGTCTGTGCTGTAATTAGATGCTTCAGTGTTACCTCACTGTCGTATTAAGTCCCAGCACGTTTCAAAATGGCTGCAGGCGTTTTATCTAAACCTCACTGAATGAGCTTCAGGTAAAGCATCCCATGGCTATTTTGAAACTTGCAGGGGCTTAATACATGTGATGGTGAGGCATTTTATTTAGGAGCGGCTGTCCAGGAACCATTCTAATTAAAACGCCCTCCCCTTTGCCCTGAGCATGTGTATAGGCAGCCTTTAGGTCCTTAGCCTTTAGGTCCCCCAGCAACCTTCCTCCATGTTGTGCCTCACAGAACTGCACAGTAAATCAAACTCTACAGCCCCTCTTCAAGCCAGTGGTATGGGGCTCTGAAAAGCCTGCCTCCTCTGGACTTGTGTAAATATGGCGTTACAGACTTAGCTGAAGGTAACCAGCCTTGAACACTTTGTTTTAAATGACTTGCCCACAAACACACAGATCAGTTACAGGACTGGGAAGAGAACCCAGGAGTTGTGACTCCCAGTGCCCTGTTCTAGGCACCAAACACCACTGCTTAGGTATGCCAACGATTACTGCAAGCACTCCCCTTAACCTGTACCTAGGCATATGACAGAATCTGTTCAAATCTCACCTCTGGAAGCTGTGGAATCTGGATCAGCCGTTTAAAGTACTGCAAGTTGCTGGAGCGATAGAACAAATCTTTGAGCCTGCAAGGGAAAAGGGCAGTGGCTGTTTAGATTCTCTAGGCTCTGGCTATGCAATGGGTTGGCTCTTCTCTACTTCCAGTCTTTACCCCCAGACTCAAGGTCATTCTGTTGGTATCAGATACAGGGAGAGAAAGGCAGCTACTGGCTTCAAATACACTGCTGCCATTTTCCTATCAAATCCAGTGTCGGTAGACGGACAGTACCCTGAGGAACCCAGCCTCCTGGATTTCTGTCTCAAGATAAGCAGCGAGCACATTGAAAACTCAGTCCAGGAGGCTGCTGTCCCTCTCTGCCACCCCCCTCCCCTACCTCCTCCCCCCATAAACCAAGAGAGACAGAGCTGGCCACAAGCTCAAAGCTGGCCACAATCTCCAGTTGAGACTAAGAACTAGAAAGAAAGATCAGCTAAACCAGAGAAAACCAGAAGTCAGATTTGCCTCCCTTGAGTTTTCTGATTTCCTTATCTTGGATGACTACCTGCTCCTATGAATGTTACCCCAGTGTCCCCTCAGTGCACCACAGCTGCACTACTCTCCTGGCTGGAGAAAATGGGGAGGGGAGCAAGCCAGAGCCTTTCAGGATAGAAAGTGCTGCTCAGTCCACATTTTTCAAAAACAGGATTGATGCACTAGAAACACTTCTAATGAGCACTTCACCACTGCCTCTAGGTGCCATCAGCCCAGTGAAACATCTCTCTCAGTAGTTCTTCACCACACAACTGGAATGCAGTCATACTTAGTTTCCATTTTTTTTTTTTTTTTTTACACAGAAAGGGCTCAAACTGCAAGACACATTCATGGGAGCAGGACTGGGCCCCTAGCAACAGCTATAATAGACTTTCATTTCAGTGTAAACTGCATGTCCCAGTTAAACCACAATTAAATGGTTTCACAGTTTAAATCATCAGCTGTCGTTTCACATAAAATGCCAACTGTGGCTGAACGCCACTTTAGTTTTAATGCAGCAGTTACCTGATAATTCAATATCAATGGATTATCCAAACAGACTGGGTATGCCAGAGAGGCCAGCTCAGTTCCCAGAAACCCATTTTTAGTGGGAGCACAGGAACTGGGACATCGTTAATTTCTAAGCCACAGATTGTACATTTCAGACACCCACCTAAGTCAGCATCCACAAAACTCTACTCAGCTGCTGAGACTGATTTAAAAATAGGTCTGAATGGCCCATTAAGTTATCCAGTGGGTTATGAATGTAGGCCTCCCGGTTGACAAGAAACAGTCGTTTTGATCTGAAGTCAGCATGCAAAGCATTACTATCAAAACCTGGTGGTAGCCAGGGGCAGGCACTCATCCATTCAGGGCACTTACTTTCTGAACTGTTCTAGGAAACGGTCCCTGTGTCCTTGTAGTGTATCAGCTGGGAGACCTGAGCATGAAGAGATGCAGATAACTGTGAATGAGCAAGAATTGTGAACACTGCCAAAGACAACAGATCACAAAAGAAAAGTGTACTCTTGGGAGGGGAGCCATTTTTACAGGTTATCACTCTAGTCTCAGCCTCTCCCAGCAGGAGCCGCTGAAGCATGGGTGGCAAAGGGGCTCCCAGCTAAAAGGGCTGTGGGGTACGAAGTAGAAGCACAGAATGGGGCAGCTCATTCATAGTGAGGAAGAGGTCCTTTGTTCATGCTCAGTCAGGGAGCTGGCAATGACCAGGCTGCCTAAATCAAAGAAGGCCACAGGCAATGCATCCTGATGCTACACTGCTGCATCTTCACTGTTATTGGCCACAACCTAGCTAACGCTGGTATGCCTCCACAAGCTATACAAAAGCTGCTCAAGCTCATCACGGCAATAAAATGGCAACTGCTGGTAAGTGTCAGAGCAGGGAGGTGTGGTATGTACTTACAGGAGTGTAGCTTGAAGAGAAGCTTGACAGTGTAGTCATAGAGATGACTGCAGTCTAATATGACCTGTATCAGTGGGGCCAAGCGGCACTGACCAGCCGCAGTGACAGACACAGAGCGAGACATGTCCAAGGAGTTGAATACTAACATGAGAGAATTACAGAAAGCATTTAGGGTTTGTTCTATGCAATGCATTGAAAAAACAGTCAGTTGCAGTGAGGGCCCATCACACGTTATTAAAATCCCATATGATATTCTGCACAGCAATTCATCATAGCACATTTCAATGTCCAGTCACAGGACATTTTGTGTATCTGAGTTGCTGTATCTTCCCCCTTCTCAGTGCCTATGTAAGACTCTCTTCTCAGATCACAAAACTTGTGGGAGAGGAAAAAAAGAAATATATATATAGATCTCTCTCTCTCTCTCTCTCTCTCTCTCTCTCTCTCTATATATATATATATATCTGTCTATCTGTCTGTCTATCCAATCATTTCTAGTTCAAGCTAGAAGGCGAGAAGTGAATGAGGAACTGACCATTCCACTGTCTCCCACTGGCATGGGGTTATCCAGGAGTTTGCGCTGGTGGACTGAGTGAAAATGCCTTTATTGGTGAACATTGTACATGCGCTGCAGTCAGACCAGTTTGGTAACCAAATGACAGGTTTAAAGCTACTTTTGATGTCTACAGATTTGGGACATCCAAACAGCTGGGTAAGAGGTCTACACAGGGAACAGGTCTCATGTGTGTGTGTGTGTGTACACACCACTGCAATAAAACCGCAGAGAGATTTCCTGCTGTTTTTTCTTAACTGCTGAAAATTTGTAAATTAACAAGAGATAGGCATATCCATGAATGCTGCCAGCATGGCTGACCAAGAGTGGGTCAGGGTTGGGTGGCAGGGTTTCCTGTGGATCTGGAAGTGGTTTAGGTGCAACAGGCTAGAATAGACTCCCCAGAACCAGAGTCCCAGTTGGAAGCCTGGGAAGGTGTTGCAGTGGTGTAGGAGGACAATAGGGTCACCAATATTAAACATAATGGACTCAGTTAGGATATCTACAGGGATACACATCTGTCTCTAACAGAGCAAAGGACTAAAAAAGGGTACCTTAGCTACCAGGCTTGAGAAGCCCTTGCTCTTTAGTGGATGCTCCATAAAATCCAAGCCAGTGACTAAGCCATAAGGCCCATGATATCTCTAACCTTTTCTGGCAGCCCTAATAAGTAATCCTTTCATTAGCATACCTCCTGGGATCAAGCAGGTGCTACAGCCTGAAAGGCCTCAGCTGCATCATTGTCAGTCCTTGGCTCTGGCACTTATCAACACATCTAACAATGCTACCAAATACATATCTTTAAGATGTCTGAAGTTCTGCAGCACTCAGTTAACCTATTGCATGGGGCATTTATTCACTCTCAGACAATATAGTCCTTACTGAGATGGCAGATAAGGATGTGATAACAGATTCCAGTCAAGATTAGCAGCACATTCAACAGAATTAAGATTTGCACTGTGTGAATCCTGTTGTCATGTGAGAGAAACTGAAACTGCACAGTCGAGTCATCTGCAAACCTATCAAAATATCAGACACGTACCTCATGGCTGAAGGCTGCCTCTATGGTCACAGGGGAAAGAAATCAATAGGACCACAATGGCAGTTGGCCTCAGGTAAATATTCCTCAGCAAAGTCACAGCTGAGGAAAGAAACTGTCCAATGTCTTGTCTCTCTCCTTCCCTAGCAGAATTATGGTTGAAATATCTATTCCTGTCCCAGTGCTTCTCTGGTTTTCAAATTAGCCCTTCCTAGCTGCCATTTAACTTGATAGGTTTCAGCTCAAAGGGGATCTGTCTCAGCATTTCAGGTCTTCCTGTTTGCACCAGCTGCAAATGCAACCACTAACCATACCAGATACATTAGCTGTAGACCTTACAGGAGTGGTTTTGGCCCTCTCTCTCCACAGACTAGATCATGGGGGCAGGGTATCACAGTCTTAACAGAAGAGCTCTCCCTTTGACTTAACAACTGTGGGCTCGATCTGTCCTGCCAACCAACTGGATGCAGCCCACGGCTACCCCCACAGCTCTCCACAAGGGGCCGTGACCCACCAGTTCCCACTGAGGCAGCCCACACCGTGCTCCTGCTGGCCTGGGCCTCGACCAGCATGCAGCTTCTGGCAGGGCTCTTTGCAGCGTGGCTGCAGCCAGGTGGTTGCTGCTTTGCTCCCCTCACTTCCAGCTGGATAGACACAGGTCCAGAAAAGGAGTGTTGACTGTTCATAGAAGTGACATCAAGATTCCAGAGGTGTGTCTTCCAGCACTTTCTCTAGCTGTCCCTCTCTCATGATGTTGGAGGTTTCTTTGTGCATTGAGTGGATGAAGGCCTCATGGTTGCAGATATTTTGGAGCCTATCCACTTCCTCCTGCAGCTCCTTTACCTGATTCCTAAGAGAATCCACCAGGAGGCACCTCTCACATCCCCCACCTGGCTGGTCCGGACACTGCAAAACTAGGCCAGAACCCATATGGAAGCCTCAGTGGTCAGGGGCCATGCCTGAACACAGTGCGCACAGGTACAGGAGGAGGAAGGCCTGGCAGTGGCAGAGACTTTGGCAGTGCAATGTTTCTAGCTGTCCTGTTGATTTTCCTGCTAGCTCCTTCTTCCTCTTCTGCTGCTATATCAGGGGTGGCCAACCCCTAGCTCCAGAGTTCAAACTTATGAGTCCAAATTGAATCATGTGCTTGCTGCGAGCAGTCGCGTCACGTGCCGTGACGTAATGGCTATGGAAGCTGGTCACCGTGTGCTTGTGCAAAGATTCAAGGAGATGCATATTAACTTCTGAAGAGCTGCATGTGGCTCTGGAGCCATGGGTTGGCCACCCCTGTGCTATATCTTAGAGAAAAAATGTCCTTCTTCCTCTTACCTGCTTCCATTCAGCAAGTTTATAGAGAAAGAAAGTGGCTGGGCAAACTCCCCAATGAACTCCCTACTTGAACTCCCCTGTTAGCTGGTCTGAATGCCGATCCTGTGCCACTAGCTCCTCTGTTGATGTGATCATTTGGAATCAAAAGGAATTCTACCCCATTTTACCCCATGGTCTGACTGGCATGGATTTGGGTGGGGTTTCATTCTTCTGTAGCAGGGAGGGAGGGGTATGGCCCTCTTCTTTGGATCTCTTAAGTGTATCTGAACACATATTCCTGCCCTTACAGCAGCAGGACACTGACGATACCTTTGTCCTCGAGCTTCATCTGTGGCAGGTTAGGGTGTTTTTGATATTTTAGGCATAGTTTCATAGTTAGTTTCATAGTTTCTAGGGTCGGAAGGGACCTGAACAGATCATCAAGCCCGACCCCCTGCCCTGGGCAGGAACGAACGCTGGGATCATAATACCCCAGCCAGATATCTATCTAACCTCCTCTTGAAGACCCTCAAGGTAGGGGAGAGCCCCACCTCTCTTGGGAGCCCATTCCAGAGCCTGGCAGTCCTAACCATAAAGTAATGCCTCCTGATATCAAGCCTGTACCTGCTCTCAATTGATTTGTGGCAGATATTCCTTGCTATCCCGGGTGGTGCCTGGGGGAACAGAGTCTCACCTATTTTCTGCTGGTCACCCCTGGTGAGTTTATAGACGGCCACCAGGTCCCCTCTCAGCCTTCTCTTGTGGAGGCTGAACAGGTTCAGGTCCCGTAGCCTCTCCTCGTAGGGTTTGCCTTGCTGCCCCCGATCACGCGGGTGTCCCTTCTCTGGACCCTCTCAATGCTGTCCACATCCCTCCTGAAGTGCAGCGCCCAGAACTGGATTAGTACACCAGCTGCGGCCTGACCAGCGCCGCATAGAGGGGGAGGATCACTTCCTCGGCCCTGCTCACGATGCATCTGTGGATGTATGACAAGGTGCGGCATTGTGCCTTCTAGTTGTGCGAGAGGGTTTTAAAGAATAGATTAGACCAGTAGTACCCGATCTTTTCAATCTACAGGCCAGATGAGTGGTGCCAGGTTAGTCTGTGGGCTGGAGTCAATCCGTTCGTGGACCCACATGGCTCAGCTGGGGCCCAATCCAACCATGTGGGCTGATAGGGCCCAATCCAGCTGCACAGGACTGGCAGGGCCCAGGCCCTATCTGGCTGGAAGAGGCTTGGAAATTTGGTGTTAATTGTCACCACTCTCCCAATGCTAAATTTCCAAATCAAATGAGGCTGGATGGCACGGCTTGCAGGCTGGATGGCATGGCTCTGAGGGCCAAATCTGGTCTGTGGGCCAGAGGCTGAGCCCCTCAGTTTTGACAAACACTTGTCTAAGATGGTTTAGATGGGAATGATACTGTCTTGCACATGGGGATGAACTAGATGCTTCCATCCTACTTTCCTATGATTTCCTGTGATTTCTACTTGCGTCATAGCCATATTTGCACATTGGCTGCATTGTCAACTATTGCCTTAAAATTTTGACAAATAAGGCCTTAGTGTAATGACTGCAAGAGGATAAAGGAGATGATTCAAAGGATATTTTTCTTAAGAGCTGTTAAGGAAGGAAGCTTGCCTACATGGGAAAGTTACGCCCCATGTGGTACAAAAGGTCCACTCTGCATTTAGTGGGAAGCATCTTGGTCACAGGATTCCAACATTTTTAGTGCTGATACTTTCTCAGCCTTGCTTGTGGGCATAATGGCCACACTCTAGTTTCTGCGGCAATTAAAAAAACCTTGCAAATATACGGGGAAATCCTGTGTCTACCCTTCAACAGAAACAGTTGGGGTGAACTGTCCTGAAACCAAACACACGTTTTCATTATAGTGATCTGCTATCCTAGTTCTCCTTTTGAAACTGGTTTTACAAGGGAGTAGCTGGAAAAAGCTGGACTTTTCTTTGCTGGAAAACAGGATTTGCGGGAGCAGATTAAACCAATGCTCTTTTATTCTAGTGTCCTGCCTGCAGCTGTGGACACGAGCTGGTACTTCAAAGAAACCCAGTTCTTTCATGCCATACTTCAGCACTCAGACAATGGTGTGAGCTGTGTGAAGACTGAGATGAATTTACTGTCCCATTACAGCAGGTGGCCATGAGAGCATGAGGATAAATATCCCTTCTCATGTATATCCCAGTAAGTATAAGAGCAGCTGCTGCTTATCTTCAGAATCAAGT